ATCCATGGTTACTCTAGTCATACCAAACAAAAATTAAGATTTAATTGAACAGTTAGTTTTAGACATAAACAGCCATTCTTTGACAGATGGCATTTCTGAGGAGTTCAGCAAGGACTGCATGAAGTAAATCCAAGAGAGTCAAAAATAAAATAGAAGTCTTTTCCCTAGCACCAGATCTAAATATGGTAAACTCAAGTCTAACAATAGCTGACAATTTTCTTATTTTTAAAAATTAAAAGCAATTAAATTCAGAAATATTTCTAAGTGGTCTAAAATGAATTGTAAAATTCTAATAAAAGTTATCTACATAAAGTCAGATTCAGTACTATTTCAGTGATAAATCTTTACAAAACAGCAGAATTACAAAAGTCACAAAGATAAACAGAAATCTAAACTAAAGTACATCTTAAATAAACAAAAGCTTTTGTTGTTCCACTGAAAGGACCATAAAAGTAAGCTACAACATAGGAAAAGCCTTTTAAACTGACAAAATGGCAAGCCAGAGGTCAGAGAGCCAAGCAGGTCAAGAAAGCCCTTCTTCCAAATTTGAGGATCATTCTTCTATCTAGCTGTGCCTGGATTGGTCTAATGATAAATTCCACATTAGCTCCTCCCCTCAGATGGAGCAGAAACACTTGAACTGCCTTCTGTCTCAACAAAACTTTAGTTTGCTGATTGGACATGAAACAAAGAAAAGCCAGCAGGGTACAATTTATAAGGGGACAGAGTAGCCTGACATGCTATTGTGCTCTAGAAGTATCCACAAGCTGTTAATTCCATTTTAACATTGTTAATAAGACTGTTAACACATCTGACTTTGTTTAGAGACCTTAAAAACATCAACAAACTATTGAAAGACCCACCAGAAGTAAAATATGATCTATTCAGGTAGCATCTCACATCAAAATATTATAACTTTCCTTTCCTTAAATCTTAAAACATGAAAAAATATCCATGAGATTTAGATGCATGAGTCTAAACATATCTCGTTTATCATGTTAGAATATTTAGCTAAACATATTTTTCCAGACCAAATTTGTTTGCAACTACTATAATTTTTTAAAAGGAAACAAAATAAAACTGGAATTCCCCTTACATACACACCTCTCTCTTCCCCCCACCCCCACCCATGCACACACACAAACAAATGTGCAGATTTAATCAGTGTGGAATGTTTTAAATGAATAATTGGGTCTGACAGATTTATTGCAGTTAATTTTGCAATAGAATGGAAAAATGTTTGGATCTCAGCCTTTAAAGTATTAGGAAAACAATTAATCCATCACATAACGGAAATTCTTTTATCACACTCTCATGTCCAATTAAATAATGTCATGTAATTTTATGTATTAGAATACTAAAATTTAGACTCAAAATATTAGGGAAATAAGATTTAATTTTTCAGAATTTTTTAAATTTGTAATTGTAATTAAGACCAGATTCTCAGGTGGGAGGTGTTTTTTTAAACAAATAAAAACTAATATTACTTAAAAACCTTGATTTCCCTTCCTCCCCCAGTTTTTCATGTCAAGAATATTTTAACAACAGAGCAATTGCAGGGAAAATCTAAAGCACAATTATCAATGCACAACTACAGAAAATATTTTAAACAAGAAAACATTTTAATTTTTGCAAATACAGGGTCTCTACTTACTCAGAAATAACTCCCACTGAATAAGGATTGCACAATTTATAAATAAGTGATAGCAAACTTTTGAGATTTCAAGTAGTGCAGTTTCATTTGTCTTTTTTCATAGTGGATTAACAACATCTATAAAATTGTTTAATGTAACACCCATCTCTTTTTTTTAATGTAATTTTTTTTAAGAAGTTGCAAAACAAAGAACAAAATAACAAAACCAACAACCTACAAATCCACTGAAATTTGACACTTGGCAAATTCATGCATTTCAGATGTTGTATAAGACTTTTTGTTTCTTAAGCATGTTACAGTAGAATTCAACAAATGTTGGTCACAAATATTTCTGCCACTGTTTTTAAAAGACTTGAGACTGAAAATGTAGTGTGCATTTTATGGCTTCATAACCAAAAATAAAATGTAATCATATTCTCAAAAGAGGGTGAAAATTTAATAGTTTAAAGGTTTAAGGGGAGTGTTCTGCTATTTTCACTCCTACCAGTTCTGATATTCCTGAGGGAGGCAAGGAGGAGATATATAACAGACAAAAGGGACCATTAACATGTGAGAATATAGCAATATAACATTAAGCTGTGTGTTATAAAAAAGCAAATAAAATATCTAATGAAACATCACCCTCCAACAGATCAAATGGCAAAAAAAAACAACAAAAACAAAAAAAGAACCCAAACCCTAAACTACATTTAATGGTAGTTAACATTGTAATTCCTTATAGCCAGTTTCATTAGAGCATCACCATGATAAGACATGCAAAAATAGCGATTGCTGCAGTAATCTTGAATGGTAGATGTAAGAGGAATCATATTTGGATACCACTGTTCAATCTGTATTCCCAAATACAATATGGTTCTTGTTTTACTGGCTTTTTACAATCTTATGTTCTAGATACGCACATTTCAGCTAAGTATTTCAGTTGCCATAACAACATCATAAATTTGTTCTCTGAAACCTTTTTAATAAAATGATTTTTGAACACTAATGCTACGATAGCCAGGACAGTTTCTCAATATATTCAGTTCACCTTTTTCTAAAGGAGTCTATTTGTTTCTGTTTCCCTAAGAAGCTCATAATCTGAAAATAATGTAACCACCTCCTCCTTTCCAGTGCTGGAAATAGGTCTGTTATAAATAGCTTTCCTGTGGTCTTCAGATCATGTTTTTAAAATAAATAATTCATCTATAGTGGCCAGTGGTCACTCTTTTAATGCTTACAAAAAGGAAAAAAAGTACTGTACATGTAACCTATTATGTGAAATACAGTAAATTTCTATGCATTCAATTGCAAAGCGCTCAGACGCATTTTCAAAGATTACTTAGCTGGTATAATCCTACAGATTTCTTCTATGCACTCACTTTTACAATTCGTATTCATTATGAAAATCAATTTTATACTGTAATTTTTAAGAAGCCTTATGTAATTTCTGTGATATCATAAGAAATAGAAACACTGGCACTTTATCATTAAATACATTGCATTCACTACCACCAACAAACAACAAAACAATGGACAACAGGATGTGACTAACAAATGCTGGGGGAAAAGTCAAGCTGTGCTTTTAGCATATGCAGTGAAACAGAAGACACTTTTTTTCCTGCTTAACATATCTATGCATTTCAATAAGTTCAGAAGAAACTCTGAATTGCTTTCAAAAGTTGCAAATTGTTGTGAATACACTGCAAAGTGGCACTATGGGAACATGACCATCCCATAATTTTGGAAGATGTTAAGAATAAATATTTTTTTTAAAAAACAGAAGAGGAAATATCTTGATTCTAACAGTTAAATATTCCTGAACTAGCAAGAGATTGTATAAATCAATATGTTCAATATACCTTAAAGGAAAATGATATAGGCAAAAGTATATATAGAAAAAAAGACTGAACAGTCATTTATAGCCTCCTCAATTGATGATCAAAGCCAGTTAATGTTATGAGATGATGTCATTCAGAAGAAATATATAGTTGAATGGAAATATTTGTTACCTCTATTAGAGATAATACACACACACTTCCAGAGTGGCTGCATTTAAAAAGATGTATACTTTGCTTTTACCATTTGTGATTTTTCATATAACTAAAACGGGATTATCACAATGTTTAAAAACTTAAACTGAGTCTAGTTTTTAAAGGGACTCACCATATGCAAGTTGTTTAGGTATCTATATCAGAAATATTTCTTTTTAAACTATGGAAGGGGGGGCAGAGGGCAGGATAGAATTTTTCTCCCTGAATATAAAATTAAGCAGTTGCCACATCAAAAGGAAATCTTGATTCATTTTACCTGAAAAATTAATAGACTTACAACTCTACTATTATAGATTCAAGGCGTTAAAAACAGAGGCTGTGGTGACACCCACTGTTCCAGGAACAAAATGCAGCTGTGTTTTTTGTTTCTTTAAAAATCATCAGCTGTGCCTTTACAGAGGATATTGTCCCCATCCTGATATTCACCCCAGCACCCCTTATTTCTTCCCCCTTTACTCGTTTTTCTATCTATATCACCACCCACTGGCCACAAAGCAAGATTACCATGTTACAGTAAGCTCCTCTAAACAGCAGGGCAAACTCACTGTTCCTAGGGGGAGGGGAAAGCAAGAGAGAGGAAAGACATCAGCTTAGCATTCCTCAGTTGCTTTAGATCTTTACAATTGTTTTTTTTCCCCTTCCCTCCTGGAATGAGGAGGGAAGCAATCACTTCAAAGAGGAAACTTTCTGCTTGGTGCAGAGACAGAGACAGAGTTGTTGTCTCACTGTTGTCAGTATTATTAATTAATTATTATTATTATTATTATTTTAAAATCCTATTATTCTTTTTGTCAGCTTGCTAATGAAGCTGTTGTTATTACTATTGAGGAAAACTAGGAGGCAATGCATGGTGAGGGAGGCGTGTGCACACCAGCAGCTCCCTTTCCAATTTGTTCCCTCTGAAGAAAAGGAAAATATCTATGACAAAAAATTACAGTGGGCAGTCTTCTTGCTTTCTCAATTAGCATTCCCCACCCTGTGGCATGTATGCATTATGTAATTCTGGGGTGCATCTATTCAGTCACAGGATAACATTCTGCAGTAATCGATCATCTTCCATCTGAAAATTTCAAAGCACTATGCAAACATTAATTAATTTATCCTTATCACCCCTGAAAAGTAGGGAAATAGCCCCATTTTACAGATGCAGGATGCACAGAGAAGTTGGTGACTCACGCAAGATCTCACAGAAAGTCTATGGCAGAGTGAGGAATAAAATGTTAATCTCCTGACTGCATGCCATGTGCTTTAAATACAAAAACAGCCATACTTTCTTTTTGCAAACCTTTCTTTCATTGGTTTCACAGTAGCAGCCGTGTTAGTCTGTATTCACAAAAGAAAAGGAGGACTTGTGGCACCTTAGAGACTAACAAATTTATTTGAGCATAAGCTTTCGTGAGCTACGCCTCACTTCATCGGATACATTCAGTGGAAAATAGAGTGGGGAGATTTATATACACAGGGAACACGAAACAATGGGTGTTACCATACCACTGTAACGAGAGTGATCAGGTAAGGTGAGCTATTACCAGCAGCAGGGCGGCGGGGGGAGGGGGGGATGGTGGAAACCATTGGTAGTGATGATCAAGGTGGGCCATTTCCAGCAGTTGACAAGAACGTCTGAGGAACAGTGGCGGGGGGGGGGGGGGAATGAACAAGGGGAAATAGTTTTACTTTGTGTAATGACCCATCCACTCCCAGTCTCTATTCAAGCCTAAGTTAATTGTATCCAGTTTGCAAATTAATTCCAATTCAGCAGTCTCTCTTTGGAGTCTTTTTTTTGAAGTTTTTTTGTTGAAGAATTGCAACTTTTAGGTCTGTAATCGAGTGACGAAAGAGATTAAAGTGTTCTCCCACTGGTTTTTGAATGTTATAATTCTTGACGTCTGATTTGTGTCCACTGATTCTTTTACATAGAGACTGTCCAGTTTGGCCAATGTACATGGCAGAGGGGCATTGCTGGCACATGATGGCATATATCACATTGGTAGATGTGCAGGTGAACGAACCTCTGATAGTGTGGCTGATGTGATTAGGCCCTATGATGGTGTCCCCTGAATAGATATGTGGACACAGTTGGCAACTGGCTTTGTTGCAAGGATAGGTTCCTGGGTTAGTGGTTCTGTTGTGAGGTTTGTGGTTGCTGGTGAGTATTTGCTTCAGGTTGGGGGGCTGTCTGTAGGCAAGGACTGGCCTGTCTCCCAAGATCTGTAAGAGTGATGGGTCGTCCTTCAGGATAGGTTGTAGATCCTTGATGATGCGTTGGAGAGGTTTTAGTTGGGGGCTGAAGGTGATGGCTAGTGGTGTTCTGTTATTTTCTTTGTTGGCCCTGTCCTGTAGTAGGTGACTTCTGGGTACTCTTCTGGCTCTGTCAATCTGTTTCTCCACTTCAGCATGTAGGTATTGTAGTTGTAAGAATGCTTGATAGAGATCTTGTAGGTGTTTGTCTCTGTCTGAGGGGTTGGAGCAAATGCGGTTGTATCGTAGAGCTTGGCTGTAGACAATGGATCTTGTGATGTGGTCTGAATGAAAGCTGGAAGCATGTAGGTAGGAATAGCGGTCAGTAGGTTTCCGGTATAGGGTGCTGTTTATATGACCATCGCTTATTAGCACCACAGTGTCCAGGAAGTGGATCTCTTGTGTGGACTGGTCCACGCTGAGGTTGATGGTGGGATGGAAATTGTTGAAATCATGGTGGAATTCCTCAAGGGCTTCTTTTCCATGGGTGCAGATGATGAAGATGTCATCAATGTAGCGCAAGTAGAGTAGGGGCATTAGGGGACGAGAGTCGAGGAAGCGTTGTTCTAAGTCAGCCATAAAAATGTTGGCATACTGTGGGGCCACGCAGGTACCCATAGCAGTGCCGCTGATTTGAAGGTACACATTGTCCCCAAATGTGAAATAGTTATGGGTGAGGACAAAGTCACAAAGTTCAGCCACCAGGTTTGCCGTGACATTATCGGGGATAATTTCATTGTTTGTGGAGACAATAAACAGTATACCCTTCCAGTACAAAACACAAGGCAGAGAGAGGAAACAATAAAGGAATGAATTCCTCATCCCTTATATTCATCCTAGAGATAGATGATGATAATGCAACTCACGGTCACAAGCATGCTTATTTTATATTGTGTATTTTTAGACAACCTGTATTCCAAAATGCATTACAATACAATTAAAGAATTAAGTAACATCAGGAGAGAGAAAATAACAGATATGGACAAGGGGACATAGCTGTTCAGGTAAGATTTGAAAACAGATGAGTCAGTTTGGCAGAGGGACACTAGAAGGATGTTCCTGACAGTAAGAGCTGCAAAGGAAAAGGTTCCTGCACCAATAATAGCCAGACTGTATGGAGAGACAAAAAAGAGACAAATGTTAGATGAACTGAGAAAGTATGGAGGAGACTCGAGACAGGAGGCCAGATTTTCGAAGGTTTTTAGATGTCTAAAGATGCAGATAGGCACCTAGTGAGATTTTCAGAGTCTAAGCAGGTTCCTCACTTAAGTCCCACTGAAAACAATCCTAACCTACTTAGGTGCTTTTGACAGCCTCATGAAGTGCCTATCTGCACCTATAGGCACCTAAATACCTTCAAGAATCTGGCCTATGATTCCCGAATTAGGTTGTTGTAACCCCAGGAAGAGTTTTAAGAACAAGAAGCAATATTACCAACCTCAAAAGATCAAACATCATGAGTTGGGCCCCCCCCCCCCAATTGTGAAATTGGGTTAAAATCATGAGATTATAAAAATAACAATGCTGGGGTTCTTTTTATTTGTCTTCTGATCTTTGAGCATTTGGAATTCATGTTTTCAAGCTTTTCTCTTCAGCCATGAGGACTAGTTTCTTTCTTTTTTAAAATCGAAGTTGAGATTCTCATGTAATAACCTGATTCTAGTTACTCGGGTTTTAAGAAAAAAAATTGTGAGACTCATGATAAACTCATGAGAGAGGGACAATTTTGAACTGGATTATGAAATGAATATGCATCCAGTAGAGTTTGTTTGAAGGTGAGGCTAATGTGGTCACATTTCACTGCATGTGCTAGAGAAGACAGGGGACAACAGAAATATGACTACCAGCGTTCTGCTGCAGTGCTCATATGTAATGAGATTTGAATAAAAGCACTGAAGAATATACTTCTACGAATGGAAAGTGCTTTGAGATACTTCAGGAAAAACAACAATTATAATACATTCACAACTACAATAATAATGCTGCTGCTTAAGGTATTTCTTCTTGAGTCAAGGCTCGCTTTCTTAGGACTACTTTGTCAATTTGAGTTTCTGCCATAGGTTTTCATACTCTTCATTTAACTTATTCAGGACATGGTTAGGAAAATACTATTCTTGACCAAATGCCAAACTATTTTATAAAACTCACTTTTAAAAAAGGCTGTAGAGCAGATATCTCAATCATTCCTATGAACTTCAAACTCTGCAGAATAAAACTTCAGTAAACTATGGCGTAAAGTCAGAGAGAGTTTCTGAAAGATCCATCAAAAGACAATATTTGTAAAGAATTTGAACATTAGCAACCAAACTGACACAGCAAAACCATTGTATTTTTCACCAGTTTTGTTTTGTTATATACAGCTGTGTTTTCACAGATGCAAAGCCATGTGTCTTCAGCAAAAGGTCTACTCTTTCCTTCAGATGTGAATGAAGATCAAAGGTTCAAACACAGAAATACAAGATCCTTTTCCCTTTGGAACATGTTTTTATTTTTTTGCAGTGGCTGCAAACCAGAATTTCCATCTGCTGTCCTTATGCAGTGCACAGGTTAACCTTAACAGTAGGGTTTGCAATGTTGTTATCTCAGCTAAGAAGTGCAGAGATGAATCACTTTTGCATGTATGCTCTGAACAGCTCACCAAGAAGCAAAAGTAGAACTGCATCAGACAACAATCAGATTAATCTTCATGGAGCATGGTTGAAACAGAGACCCTCTCACTTATTCTTGATACAACATAACACTAAATTACATAAAAATATACATTTCCTTTCATCTTATGCAGCTCTTGTGAAAGAAAGATATGTCAGCTATGATCCCATACCAAATTATTGGGCTAAATTTTCTACTGGCAAAGCTTCTTTGAGGTAAATGGAGTTGCATCACTTTATTCCAACAGAGAATTTGGCCCACTGTTTCCAGGCTGTATTTTGATATGCTCTCCCTTGCTCCCTCAACCAGTGTATTTTCTCAGACATTCTCTGTATCCATTTCTGCATTGCTGGTGATAAAAAAAATGCAATAACTTGATAAAAATATGAATGTTAACTGCTACTAGTTACATGATCTAATTATGGACAATTTATTTACATTTAATAAAGAATTTTAAACAATACAGCATCTATGCCAGTTATTGTTTGTACAATAATACTGATCTCTTGCAAAAAAAAAAATAGGGCTGTTTTAGTTGTAAAACTAACATAAACCAACCAGAACTTATATATTTATTTAAAGAGATGCTTTTTTGTTTTGTAATTGTAGTTACTTACAAAATGTACATTGTAGGATTATGTCTGGATATTAGGGATGATTATGCTCAGCTAAAAGACAGCTGGTAAGTACAGTTTGGGCTCTTGACCGGCTCTGCTGATTGTGAAAAAAGAGCCAAGTATTACGTACACTTTGGTAAAGCAGTGTTATTCAGCACACAAATACATTTAAAGGTGGGGGGGAGGGCTTTTTGTCTTTCAGCCCCACCCCTTTTCTTTTATTGTCAACATGCTAATGTCAGAATAGAAGAAAAGTGCCCATTTGCCCCATCAATTACTTTACAAATGCATAAATTGCCATGTAAATATTTATTTTGGCTAATGGTAAAGTATGCTATATCAACTAAATGAGAGGATTTGAAGGTATTTTGTTATTTTTGCATTTAGTTTCCTCAAGGTCACTAAATATAAATATCAGTGCAGAGTTATCATTAGTGATCAAAAGCACCAAAGCTTTCGCTAGAACCATGTGAAAATTTCCAACAGTATTACATCTACATATTAGACCTTGTTTTAACAGTAAGGTATGATTGCCATCTAGTGGCCAGCTAACAATGACATCATTTATGCTTTTTATGCACCATTTATTCTGCTTTAAAGAATTTTTTAAAAACCACACAAATAACTGTCAGTTTTGATTAATGAATAGGAAATGCATATGGATCAACAATAAAGAATGAATATTAGAACTGTGGACTATTTTCAGTTTTACAATGGATATTTCACAAATTTGTGCCTTTTACAATCTGTGGAGCTTCTGTTAACATTGTGCTTCCAGAATTTTAGTGCAAATTTTTGCTGTGCATTAGAGCTCTGTCCCTGATTTCTTGGAATTCATCACATGGTTTAAGTCATGTTATTACTTCTGGTTTCCCAGATGGCTGAGATTCCTCATGTGCTCAGAAGTCATTTTCACTCTAGGAAAGGTTATCACAAACTTCTTTCTGCAAGATAGACAGAAAAAACATTGGGGCAGATCCTCAGCTGATGTCAAATATAGTAGCTTTATTTGCTTCAGTGAATTTACACGAGCTGAGGATCTCACCTATTGAGTCTGTTTTGATTTTCCTCACTTTTTCCCAAAACAAAGTAAAACAGTCTTGCAACTCATTATTAATATGGCCAAGGACAGTCTTTTACTCAATTTTTTGAAAACCCATAACTCTCTCTCTGAATTAGAATATTTGCAATTTTAAAAGGGAAATACTGGCAGCCCATTTTCAAAGATTAAATAGGAGAAATACGCACACTTTGGAGGCCTCTTCCTACACCCCACCCACCCCAAATGATCCACCCAGAAATATTTTCCTCTATTTGACCTCTTCCAATTTCATATTTCCTCATCACATTTTGGTATTCCTAAGGGCACCCTCTGAGAATCTGTCTTCTTCTGTCTGTGCCATTATGACAGGTGGTTATATTGTGTCTTAAAAAGCAGACACCCGTGTTACAGGTGGTGCAGAGGCATACTTCCCTATTGGGAGCATCCAGATGCATTGTGCTCAGCTCAGGCACAATGGCTTCTAGAGTTCTAGGCTGTGCCACTCTTCAGACACGTGGAATACACTCTGCCTTGCACAGGATCTGCTTCACTGGCCAGTGAGGAGGTGGAGGAGAGACAGGCAGGCCATTTCTCCTCCATATCCTGCCCATGTTACATAGACTAGTACGGCTTGTGACGTCCATGCAGTCCACGGAATGCAAGGACCAGATTGCGTCTATCAATGCCACAGAGACAAAAGTGAAGAGAAGGCTCCAAGCATCCTCTCTCACAATTTTGTTCCCCCTCACATACAGCCCAGCCTCTAAACCAGTTTTATGTAACTCAACCAGTTAAGTTTAGACTACTACCTTTTTAATACCCTCTCTCTTGACTATACAGGCAGTGAACTGAATGGATTTCAATTTCTTTGAATGACACCTACATTCTTAATTCTCCCTTGCTAGCCAGGAAACTGGACTCTATCTCAGTCTATTTGATATTATAATTAAATCTCACTATTTGTTTAGCTTGCTATTTGCAGTATCTCCATCCTGACAAAGATTAAAGGCCTTCTCTGTTTGAAAGTAGCATCAGAACAACTCTGTACACAATGAAGAGGTCCTGTAGCTAGAACAACCAACAGCAGAGGTCATTAAGGGGCATGGTTCTCCAAAGTAAACTCAATAGAGTCATAGAGTTTAATGCCAGAAGAGACCACGTGATCATCTAGTCTGAGCTCCTGAACATCACAGGCCACTAAACCACACCCAATTACCTCTATTGAGCCCCGCGATCTGGCTTAGACTAAAGTATTACAGCCCACAGGAGACAAAACTATTGTGTGCCACAGACATTGAAAAGAAGGGACCAAGGTGCTCCAGTTCCTGAGGCAGTGGCAGGGAACCGATTTAGTGAGATGCTCAAATGATCCTAGCAAATGAGCCATGCCTCATGCTGCATAGGAAGGTGAAAACATGCCAGGGTCACTGTCAATCTGACCTGGGGTAAAATTCCTTACAGATCCCAAAAATGGCAATGGGCAAGAACCAGCCAGCCAAGCATGAGAAAAAAGTGAATTCTCTGTACCGTCTCAGAGCACCAGTCAACTCTGCCTGATGTCCCATCTCAACCTGTGGCCATCTTTGATGCTTCAGAGGAAGGAGATACAACTCCCCCCCCAAATACATCAGGAGGAAAATGTTTCCTTCCTGACCCCTACAAGTGACTGCCTAAAGTGCTGGAACATGAGATTTAGGGAGATAAAGACATAGGACTACAAGGGACTCCCTGGGCCACTGAGCCCAGCTCCATCACCACTGTCTACAGGCAAACCCATCATGCAATCCTACTTATTACAACAGGGTCACACCCAAATGCAAGAGGCCTGGCCTAACAGTCAATTCTGTTTGTAGATTTTTACTACAGACAAATTGATCCTATCTCCCATATTTAATTGCGACATATAGCTGGTGAGACAGAGGCAGCTGAGAGACTAATGGAGTTAGCCAGCTGAGTTCACCAGCAGAAGAAGGCACAGAGATAGGATTCCCCCATCCCCTCCTTAACTTTCAGGTACTCTACAAGGAAAAAACCTGCAACGGGAGGAAAATAGCACATTGCCAACACCATTGCTGACTCTTCCTCTGCCTGCACCTGTGGGGGCCCAGGCCACACAGGCATCCTAACCCTGGAGGCTTCTACCCGGGTCCTGGTCTTGACTTGCTGTGAATGCAGTCTGCATGTGCCTGATGAAGAAATTTAGGCAAGGGGAACCACCCAGTGTGAGAGGTGGTTTTGCTGGAGTCCCTCAGAAAGCACATAAGAGAGAGCTCCGAAGGAGGTGGCTTATCTACATACCATCAGGAACATGACGGTTTAATTCACAGGATGCACATGGAGACAAAGAATGCTAGCCAATTACAGATGGCTACAGCGGCACCAGAGGAGGAAGGAGAACTGGCTGCTCTGTGGGGAGGAGACTGGTTGCTGGCCACCTTGGCCAGTGAAAAGTGCTCCATCCCCCACCCAGGTCCCTCGTCCACCAACGTGAAGAACCAGCATGCTGTACAGGCTACAGGAGTTGAGGAGCAGACCCCCAAAGGTGGAGGAGGAGGAGGAGCCACCTGCTTCCAAGCTGAATGCAGTTATTTTTTGTACATAATTCTATATTTGTAAGTTCAACTTTCATGATAAAGAGATTGCACTACAGTACTTGTATTAGGTGAATTGAAAAATACTATTTATTTTGTTTTTTAGAGTGCAAATATTTATAATACAAAATAAATGTAAAGTGAGCACTGTACACTTTGTATTCTGTAACTGTATTCTGTTGTAATTGAAATCAATATATTTGAAAATGTAGAAAACATACAAAAATATTTAAATAAATGTTATTCTATTATTGTTTAACAGTGCTATTAGTCACGTGATTATTTTTTTTAATTGCTTGACAGCCCTAATTCCCGGGTAACAACCACTGGGTAAAATTTACATTAAGGCCAGACAGCTATGTATTGATAGAAGAAACTCATTCTTCCCAGGTACCTTTTCCTGTGGATGCCTCAGCAAGAATATTGGCAATAGCTACTCCCTGTGAGACATCAAGACATGTGATATGCTCATGTGACCCTGGACTCCATCTTGAGCCAGCAATTTTCCGTGTACCTGGGCTGTGAGCACTGTTCCCTCTAAGCTGTGCATGTGTGTGCGTGCACACAGATCCTAAACCCCACGCACACGGCGAAACACCGCACACACAAAAATTTGCACAGAAGCAGAACAATTTGCACAGAAGAAATTTTTTGTGCACACGGCCTGTCAAAAATTAGAGGGAACACTGGCTGCGAGCTTTGTTTGAGACAGTAAATTTCCAGGCACATGACAAAGGCTATAAAAGACCCCTGAGATATCTCCATTTTTCCTCTTTCTTGCCTTGAGTCTCTGGACTGTGGATTTACAACGAAAAAGAAGCATTTTGAACTATGGACCGAGGACCTTCCAATCTTTTGGAAGTCAGAGATTCTTTACAAGCCAGCAGTCTATTCCATCACTGCTATAAACCTGATGTAAGGACTTTGCAATTATTTGTGTCTCTTCTTCTTTTCTTTATTAAACTTTTAGTTTTTATCTATTTCAGCATGATTACTGGGTAAGATCTGAGCTGTATATTGACCTGGCTAAGTGGCTGATCTCTTGGGATTAGAAGAACCCTATATTTGATTAAATTGATTTTCAGTAACTGCTCATCACAGTCCAGTGTCTGGGTGGTGAAACCAGGGCTGGAATGCCTAAGACGACTGCATTTTTGACTTCTTGTTAACCAGTGCAGTGATATAGAAGTATACTTTTGTTACTTGCTTTGTATAATCTAATGATAGGGCAGACTCACCCCAAACTGATCGTTATTCTAATTCTTGGCATGTGTCCTGAATTTGGTATTCTCAGTTGTGACCCACTGAGGCATGGTGACAGAAGGAAAGACAGGAAGAATAGTAAGAGGCCAATAGGGTTCCAGTAAGAGCTCTTTAATGACCTGAAAATCAAAAAGGAATCCTTCAAAAAATGGAAGCATGGAAGAATTGCTAAGGAGGAGTACAAAAGAATAACACAAGAATGTAGGGACAAAATCAGAAAGGCTAAGGCACAAATGAGTTACACCTATCAAGGGACATAAAAGGCAATAGGAAGAGATTCTACAAATACATTACAAGCAAGAGATAGACAAAGAAAAGTGTAGGTCCTCTACTTAGTGGGCAAGAAATAATAACTGTCGACATCAAGAAGGCGGAGGTGTTCAACACCTATTTTCCTCAGTCTTCACTAAAAAGCACCTAGGAGATAACAGGGTTATAAGGAATAGCCAGCATGGATTTGTCAAAAAACAAATCATGCCAAATCAATCTCATTTCCTTCTTTTATAGGGTTACTGGCCTAATGGATAGGTAGGAAGCAGTAGACGTGATATATCTTGGATTTTAGTAAGGCTTTTGACACAGTTGCACATGACATTCTTGTAAGCAAACTAAGGAAACGTGATCTAGATGAAATTTGTATAACGTGAGTGCACAACTGGTTGAAAGACTCAGCTACTCAAAGAGTAGTTATCAATGTTTCACTGTCAAACTGGAAGTGTGTAGATAGTGTGTAGATAGCAGATCAGTCCTGGGTGTAGTACTGTTCAATATTTTCTGTCTTGGATAATGGACTGGAGAGTATGCTTATAAAATTTACAAAGGACACCAAGTTGGAGATATTGCAAGCACTTTTGAAGTCCAGGATTAGAATTCAAAATGACCTTGACAAATTGAAGAATTGGTCTGAAACCACAAAGATGAAATTCAATAAAGATAAGTTCAAAGTACAACACTTAGGAAGGAAAAAATCAAACACACAAAATGGTGAATAACTGGCTAGGTAGTAGTAGTAGTGCTGAAAAGGATTTGGAGGTTATAGTGGATCAAAAATGGAATATGACTCAACTATGTGATGCAGTTGAGAAAAAGGCTAATATTCTGGGTTGTATTAACGGACGTGTCATTTGTAAGATATGGGAGGTAACTGTCCTGCTCTGCTTAGCACCAATGAGGCTTCAGCCGGAGTACTGCGTCCAGTTCTGGACACTACACTTTAAGAAAGATGTGGACAAACTGGAGAGTCCAGAGGAGAGCAACAAAAATAAAAAAGGTTTAGAAAACGTGACCCAAGAGATAAGGTTAAAAAAACTGGGCATGTTTAGTCTTGAGAAAAGAAGACAGAGTGGGGACCCAATAACAGTCTTCAAATATGTTAAGGGCTGATATAAAAAGAACTGTGATCAATTGCTCTCCATGTCCACTGAAGGAAGGCCAAGGAGTAATGGCCTTAATTTGCAGCAAGGGAGATTGAGGTTAGACATTAGGAAAAACTTTCTAACTACAAGAATAGTGAAGCACTGGAATAGGTTTCCAAGGGAGGTTGTGGAATCCCCATCATCTGAGGTTTTTAATAACAGGGTGGAATAGGTTTACTTGTTTCTGCTTCAGCGCAAGAGGCTGGACATGATCTCTCAATGTCCCTTCCAGCCCTACATGTCTATGATTCTGTTTTTTCCATGCAGGACCCTAAGCCCTGAAGTGATACTTCTAGACTGCAGTGCAGGACCCCTGTACTCTCCAGAATCCTGTGTGGGATCCCATTGAGACACCCCAGATACAAGTAAAAGACTTCTTTTAAAAAAATAGTTACTATGTTTGCCTTCTCCAGTCTGTAAATATTTTAGGATTAATTTCATCTGGCTATGCCATCTTGAATACACGTAACTTATCTAAATATTCTTTAGCCTGTTCTTTCCCTATTTTAGCTTGCACGCCTTTCCTTTCCCCTTGTTACTAAGATTAAATGTATGAAGTATCTGGTCACCATTAACTTTTTTAGTGAAAACTGAAGAAAATAGGCATTAACCACCTCAGCCTTCTTGATGTTGACCATAATTACTTCTCCTTGCCCACTAAGTAGAGGTCCTACACTTTCCTTTGTCTTTCTCTTGCTTGTAATATATCTACAGAACCTCTTCCAATTGCCTTTTATGTCTCTTGATAGGTGTAATTCATTTTGTGCCTTAGCCTTTCTGATTTTGTCCCTATATGCTTAGGCTATTCTTTTGTACAACTCCTTAGCAATTCTTCCATATTTCCACTTTTTATAGGATTCCTTTTTGATTTTCAGGTAATTAAAGAGCTCCTACTAGAGCCACATTGGCCTCTCATTATTCTTCCTATATTTCCTTCATATCAGGACAGTTTGCAGTTGTACCTTTAATATTGTCCCTGAGAAACTGTCAGCTGTAATGAACTCATTTTCCCTTAGATTTTCTTCCCAGGGGACCTTGCCTACCAGTTCTCGGAGTCTGTTAAAGTCTGCTTTTTTGAAGACCATGTCATTATTCTGCTTCTCCCATTCCTTCTTTTCCTTAGCATCATGAAATCTTATCATTGCTTGATCACGTTCACCAAAATTGCCTTCCAACTTCAGATTCACAACCAATTCCCTCCTGTTTGGTCAGAAGCAAGTCTAAAATGGCTTTCCCCTTGTTTACTTCCTCCACTTTATGAAATAAAAATCTGTCCCCAGGACACTCCAATAACTTATTGGAAATTTGGAGTTTTGCCGTTTTACTTTTCCAATGCACTGGGGTGTGCTAAGATCGCAGTCTGGAGTCCTTCACTTAGGTCTATAACTGGGGTTTGCTAGAGTCCCTTGCTGTGGTCTAGGGTCTTCCACTGATTTGTGCTGACATGAGCTTCCCTTTTGTGGCAACTGCCACTCCTCCCAGCTGCAGGCATGCAGCAGGTACTCCTAACCAGCTGATGCATCAGCAAGAGCTCCTCAGACTTGCTCCTCCAGAGCCCAGATTCTGGTATCAAAAGCTCCTGCAATTCCCCCACAGTGGCAACTCCAAGTTGGGAGTTGCTCCTCTGCTGATGGCTATGGAAGGATGCAAGGACTAGAATCCCTGTCTGCAGAGCCTGGGATGGCTGATGTTCCCACAGTGCCACCAGAAGGCCATGCAGAGCCACTGCAAGGAAGCATTGTGGAGAATAGGCGCCACAGGAAGGCCTGCCCAAGACTGCCACAGTGACAGTACCCTGCGGCCCTCTGTTTGGCTAACCACCCTATTTTACCTTGGAGGGTGCCCCAGGAAGTTGTCTGGGCAACGACAGAGACTTTGGGTCTACCGTGAGCCCAGGGCCGGATTAAGACCTTTAGAGGCCCTAAGCACTGAAAAGATTATGGTGTCCCCCCATATGTAATTCAAAATAAAAACAATACTATACCATAAAATAAAATTTTATTTTTTCGAAATGACACAAAAACTTACATGTATGCTGAAATTAAAATAGTTTCTTTCTAGATTTTCTGATTGCAAAATCTGATTGCAAAATTCTGGATAAGTTCATCGAAGCTGACTCAATGAAGCATGTCTGCTTCCATACACAATAGGGAAAGTGAATCAAAGTCTGTCCTAACACACTGTTGTTCTCTGAGGGTTTTTTATTCTTTTCAGCTGAGAAAAAGAGTGTTCTGTGGAGCAGTTAGTAATCATCAATGTTGGAAAATACATAGTGCGATCTCTACATTTGGAAATACACATTGTATTCCGTCTTTCAATACTGTGTCATGAAGATCAATGTGACTGAATTTTATTTTTCCTGTTTCATTAAACTTTGAGCGCATATAACAGCGGAACTGCTGTACTTCTCCAAAGAGATTCATGTTCAACTCAACAGGGTATGAGTCAACTAGCTTTTGGGAACCTGGGGAATATTGTTACTCAGATAAGTCCATATCATTTAGAAAAGAAAATCTACGTGATACTTCTTTGTACACTTCACCTCTCTTCTTCATATGAGCTTCAAGTGTATCAATTATAGCGTAGTAAATAGATACGCAAAATTTGTCTCTAGGATTCAATGCTGTTTCTGTTGCACTGCTATCATTTGCTTGTTTCTTCCTGAGTTGCTTGCGGGACTGGGCTTCTTTGTAGTTAGTATCAGGCAAGATATCTTTTGATAGGTCTTCAAATCTTTCAAAATCATTCCTCAAAGCGTGTAAGTGGTCTGCTAATGATTGACAGAGGTCTGCACATGTTTTCAAATCCAATTCTTTTTCTTGGAGAGCTTGACTTGTGTGGTAAAAGTGTTGTAAAATTTCATTCCACATGGTCAACATGAATACAAACTCTAGTTCTTGCATCTTGTTTGCAATGTTTTCTGCCTCTCGTATAGTTTCTCCCTTTTGTGATTGGTCTTCAGCTATACATTCTAATGCATCCACAATCTTTGAGAAGGTCTCCAGAATTGCACTTGTTGCCACTGCATGCTTCCCAGAGAGTATTAGAGAGAGATTTCAACACATGATCATTGCCAAAATATGTTTTAAGAACTGCCCATCAGTGTGCTGAGGCAGAGTAAAACGTAAAGTAACTGGACTGTTGAGAAAAAACTTACTGCCACTGGACAACAATCAACAGCACTGCGGCCAGCAAGACTGAGAGCGTGTGCAGCACATGGTATGAATATAGCATATTTGTTCTGTTCTAAAAGCTTCTTCTGCATTCCTTGATAACGCCCTGACATGTTGGCAGCGTTGTCATAAGATTGACCTCTGCACTTTGAGAAATCTATTTTGCAAACTTGGCACAAATAATGCAGTACTTGATTTGCCATTTCTTCACCAGTGTGGCTTTTCAAATTGAGGAATGTTATAAATCGTTCAACTGGTTTTCCATCTGTGGGAGACACATATCTTAGTACAATACTCATTTGATCAATATGTGAAAGATCAGGTGTAGAGTCAACAGATAAACTGAAGTATCCAGCAGTACTTATTTCATCCACAATAGCTGAAATGAACTTTGTCACTCATTAGACGAATGAGTTCATCACATATTGTCTTGGATAAGTATGATGGGTTACCTTTGCCAGCACTCCCATATTTTGAGATATGGCCTGCTAAAAATGAAGCCTTGTCTTTGATTTAAATATGTCAACATTGAGTCTCTGTGAGTAGTGCTATTTTCTTGTCGTTCAATTAAAACAGTATTCCGCCAGTCACTAAATCCATCTGCAGCAAACTGGGATGTTGAAGGTTTATATGCAAAAAGTTTTCAAACAAAACAGTACACAGACCCTGCTGATGGTGAATACAGTAGCCATTCTTGAGTGTATTTCTCTCCGTTCGCTTTCATGACGAAAAATATTTTTTGTGGACAATATCTTGTTTGTTTGCAATTGGTAAAAATCCGATGTGATTTCTCAAATGGCCCAGTGTGGTGTTGACAGTCATTTGGTCCACGATCTATCCAGTAAGCTACATCATCAGTACTGAAATCAACCCACATACCAGGATCTTTTCTCCTATTATTTACAGCATGAGCAGGTTCAGTCTCTGACACATCCACACCTTCTAGAACAATGTCTGTTTTACCACCAGGAGCAGGATGATCAGTTACAGTCTCTGACACATCCACATGTTGTGGAATGGTGTTTGTTTCATCAACAGAAGAAGAGTCAGTCTCTGAAACACCTACAGGTTTTGAAATGATGTCTGTGCTACTGAGAGAAGATGTTGTTTCTGATGGATTCGCTTTGAAAAATGATGTCAGCTTTGGAAGATTTTGGAAAACTTCACTAGTTTTTTGTTTCTTTTCTTCCACCAGTTTACGTTTCTGTGCTCCACTCAGTTGGTTACATTTCATCCTGCCCCGTATCTCAGTTATCTGAACTTAAAAAAAAACAAATGACACAACGTACTTTATTTTTATATATATATATATATATATATAAAATAAAAGAAAGAAAAAAACTAATCAAGTATGTATAACTCAGAAGAATATATCAATAAAACAAATTTATTGCAATACATGACAGGATCTGATTTCCTCCCATTATTTCGATCTACGCTAGTAGGATGCCCCCCTGGTTTAGGTGAGGATAAGTAATAAAAAGACAACAGGAAAACAGGGGAAGAGTGTAGTGGAGCGTAAGGAAGTCTAACAAAGTTCTGATTTTTCCCATGATGACTACTTCGATGCTTTTTTTGAAATATCAAATATCAAATTTTTTCCAAAAAAAATCTCATTTTTTTGGTGCCCCCTGCTTTGCTGGTTCCCTAAGCACATGCTTAGTCTGCCTATTGGGTAATCCAGCCCTGCGTGAGTCCAGACCTCACCTCATCTCCTGATCTCCAACCTCCAATCCCTGCCTGACTCCTTTACTCGTCTCCTGTATCTAGACTTGTACTACCTCTGATCTCCTGTCTCTGACTCCAGCCGGACTGTAACCCTGATTCTTGCCTTCTGATTCCAGCCTGGTACGACCTCTGATCTCCAGTCTCCAACCCCAGCCTGACTTTGACCCTGACTCTTTCTTATTGAGCTCAGCTCTAGCGATTCCTCTGACACCTGCTGACTGATTACTGTCCCTGATGTGTAGACTCCAGCCCAGCTGTGACTGCTAGGCCAGACCACATACAGTCCCTTACAGGTTGGTGGGGAAGCAGCTATCTAAGTTGGGGTTGTTAAACCAGTCACAGGCAGCTACACTTGTGAATTTTAGTGCCACTACACTGCCACCAATAAAGGAGGGCAAAAAGATGATGGTTAAGAGAAGTGCTGGTATAGCTTACAGGCTGTTTCTGAGTCGTATGCTAACATACTCATTCTAGACAAAATTTAATGAGAATTTTTTTTCCTCAACAGCCTCTAAAATTTGTTCTGTAAGGAGCCTGTGAAAGTCTGACCCAATTTCAATCTTCCATTAGCATTCCAAATAATGTTACATCAGTCTGCTAATTCTCTTTCTCTCATAATGTTAATTTTCAATAAGTCTTGGAACACTGGGGCAGCTCTAGAAGACTGGAAGAAAGCTAAGTTTGTTGCAGTATTTAAAAAGGGTAAATGGGATGATCTGGATAATTATAGGCCTGTCAGTCCGACATAGTTTCCAGGCAAGATAATGGAATGGCTGATATGGGACTCAATTAATAAAGAATTAAAGGAGGGTAATATAATTAATGCCCCACATGGCTTTATGGAAAATAGATCCTGTCAATATAATTCATTTTTTTATAAGGTTACCGGTTTGGTTGGTAGTGTTGACACAATACAGTGAGACTTCTGTTAGGCATTTGACTTGGTACATTTTAATTAAAAAAAACGAGAAAGATATAAAGTTAACATGTCACATGTTAAATGGATTAAAAGCTGGCAAAATGATAGGTCTCAAAATGTAAACAAGGAATCATCATTGAATGGGTGTGTTTCTAGAGGGATCCTGCAGGGACTGATTCTTGGCCCTATGCTATTTAACCTTTTTATCAATAACCTGGAAGAAAAAATAAAATCATCAGTGACAAAATTTACAGATGATCCAAAAAAATTGGGTGAGTGGTAAATAATAAAGATGACAGATGACTGATACAGAGCGATCTGTATCACTTGGTAAGCTAGGTGCAAACAATATGCATTTTAATACAGCTAAATATAAATGTATACATCTAGGAACAAAGAACATAGGGCATGCTTACAGGATGGTGGACTCTACCCTGGGAAGCGGTGACTCTGGAAAAGATTTTTAGGTGAGGGTGGATAATCAGCTGAACATGAACTCGCAGTGCAACATCCAAAAGAGCGAATGCGATCCTTGGATGCACAGAAAGGGGAAACTCAGAAGTAGAGAGGTTATTTTATGTCTGTATTTGGCATTGGTGTGACCACTGCTGGAATACTGTGGCCAGTTCTGGTATCCACAATTTATGAAGGACATTGATAAATTGGAGAGGGTTCAGAGAAAAGCTACGAGAATGGAGGACAAGGAAATCCATAAATCGTATAGTGCATGAGCTCCTTGAGTCTATTTAGATTAACAAAGAGAAGGTTAAGGGTGAATTGATTACAGTCTATAAGAACCTACGCGGGGAACAAAGAGTTGATAATGGGCTCTTCAGTCTAGTATAGAAAGGTGTAACAAGATCCAATGGCTGGAAGTTGAAGCTAGACAAATTCATATTGGAAATAAGATGTAAATTTACAACAGTGAGGGTAATTAACCATTCGGACTACTTACCAAGGGTCATGGTGGATTCTCCCTTGAGAATAGAGATTGCATGTTTTTCTAAAAGATATGCTCTAGGAATTATTTTGTAGAAGTTCTATAGCCTGTGTTATATAGGAGATCAGACTAGATGAGCATAATGGTGCCTTCTGGCCTTGGAATCTACATAATCAGACTGTCTATATATATATATATATATAGACACATACACTTACGCAAGACTGGTAGCACTGCCTATTATTAAAACTTCATTTTTACAGTTGCTTATATCTTTGCCAGACTTTAACCATTTGGATTGAAATTTCCCATGGCAGATGTCTGCCTCAAACTGAATTTCTGCTAGGGAAAAATACAGTGTTTTACGCATGTTAAAAAATTCTTGAAACTTTTCTTTGAAATACTCCAGCACCCACATACTCTAAATAAAAAGTACATAGTAATAATTTCCAAACTTCTTAAAACTTCCTAAATAAACAGTTGTTGAAAACCAAACACCACAACACAACATCCGTGGAACATAGCTAAGTTAAAGTTACTAGAGAACTTGACATTTTTCATTTCCTGGCTTTTGAACATCTACATTCATAACCTAAGATTTTTTTATTTTAAATGTATCTTCTCATTCCACCAAGATAAAGGAAAAATATGGAAAAATCCAGAGCTATTCCATATGAGAAATTATAAATTCTGCTCGTTTCGCCAGAGGTACACGTAAGATCCTTGAACGTAGCTATTGGCTTGCATTTACAAGCTTTGCAGAAAAAAAAAATACTCCCTCCTGAAGAGTTTTTAAGTTGTGCAGAAGCATAAAGATTATATTTTAATACCTGTTTCTGCATGTAAATCTGTCTACACAGAAAGATTTGTGTTGAAAATTTTCTACATAGAGGTTATCTCCAGTACTAATTTAAGGACCAATCTTGTAGCCCTAGCTCAGTAAAAAAAAATCCCACTGACTTCAGAGCAAGGAAGTAGATAGTTATTAACTAAGACTAGATGGTCATAAGGAAACCTCAAATGAAAGTCCACACACATATATTCATGATTTTACCATAAATCAGTGTTATATAACAACATAAGAACATGAGACTGGCCACACTGGGTCAGATCAAAAGTCCATCTAGCCCAGAATCATGTATTCTGACAGTGGCCAATGCCAGGTGCCCCAGAGGGAACGAACAGAACAGGTAATCATCAAGTGATCTTCCTAGCTTCTGGCAAACAGAGACTAGGGACACCTCTCTGCCCATCCTGGCTAATAGCCATTAATGGACCTATGCTCCATGAACTTATCTAGTTCTTTTTTGAACCCTGTTATAATCTTGGCCTTCACAACATCCTCTGGCAAGGAGTTCCACAGGTTGACTGTGCGTTGTGTGAAAAAATACTTCCTTTTGTTTTGATTGCCAAAATATGGCAATCAGCTGAACCTTGAGCATGTGGGCAAGATTCACCAGCCAGATACCCAGAAAAGAATTCTCTGCAGTAACTGAGATCCCACCCCATCTAACATCCCATCACAGGCCATTGGGATTATTTACCATTAATAGTTAAAGATCAATTAATTGCCAAAATCATGTTATGCCATTGTACCATCTCCTCCATAAACTTACCAAGTTTAATCTTGAAGCCAGATAGGTCTTTTGCCCCCACTGCTTCCCTTGGAAGGCTATTCCAGAACTTCACTCCTTTGATGGTTAGAAACCTTTGTCTAATTTCAAGTCTAAACTTCCCGATGGCCAGTGTATATCCTTTTGTTCTTGTGTCCACATTGGTACTGAGCTTAAATAATTCCTCTCTCTCTCCGGTATTTATTTTATGATATATTTCTAGAGAGCAATCATATCTCCCCTCAACCTTCTTTTGGTTAGGCTAAACAAGCCAAGCTCCTTGAGTCTCCTTTCATAAAACAGGTTTTCCATTCCTCGGATCATCCTAGTAGCCCTTCTCTGTACCTGTTCCAGTTTGAATTCATCCTTCTTAAACATGGGAGACCAGAAATGCACACAATATTCCAGGTGAGGTCTCACCAGTGCCTTGTATAACAGTACTAACACCTCCTTATCTCTACTGGAAATACCTCGCCTGATGCATCCCAAGACTGCATTAGCTTTTTTCATGGCCATATCACATTGGCGGCTCAGAGTCATCCTGTGGTCAACCAATATTCCAAGGTCCTTCTCCTCCTCCATTACTTCTAATCGATGAGTAGTTTTGTATCATCTGCAAATGTTGCCACCTCACTGTTTGCCCTTTTTTCCAGATCATTTATGAATATGTTGAATAGGACTGGTCCCAGTACTTACCCCTCAGGGACACAACTATTCATCACTCTCCATTCTGAAAACTGATAATTTATTCCTACCCTTTGTTTCCTACCTTTTAACCAGTTACTGATCCATAAGAGGACCTTCTCTCTTATCCTATAATAGCTTACTATGCTTAAGAGCCTTTGGTGAGGGACCTTGTCAAAGGCTTTCTGAAAATCTAAGTACACTATATCCACTGGATTTTTCTTGTCCACATGCTTGTTGACCCCCTCAAAGAATTCTAGTAGATTGGTGAGGCATTATTTCCCTTTACAAAAACCATGTTGATTCTTCCCCAACAAATTATGTTCATATATGTATCTGACAATTTTGTTCTTTACTATAGTTTCAACCAGTTTGC